TGCATATTTATTTTTATTTTTATAGCTGACGTGTCCATAGACCTTGTGTCATCGCCAAAAGTAATCGGAGGGGAAGATCAAATTAACATAACGTGTAACGTCTCTGATGTCACTTCCCTGACGATGTGGGACGTCGTGCTGTACAGAAACACTTCAGATCTAAACACGGCCATGTTGTCATTCTACTTCAACGGCACCACGAGCATGATCACGTGGTCAGACAGTGAGATTGAGAATCGAGCGGTGGTGACGGCATATATCGAGAATGGAGTGTCCGCCATATTGATTTTCTCGTTAGGGACGGAAGTGACGTGCACAGACGAGGGATATTACACATGCGAAATACAAGGATACACGGGATCTGGACAGGCACTCGTCATACAAGAAGGACAACATGTTAAAATTACTGGTACGATATAAATCATATCGAAATTATTTAATCACCATCTTTTATGCTTTTCTTTTTTTCAGCTTTGCGATTCAAGTATTGCCTCATTGAAGTTTTTTGAACTAATTAATTTTATAACTCAGACGGTTTGCAACTTATTAAGGTGAAAGCAGGATGATTGAATTTGTTTGTATGGTGTGTTGCCAATGAATTCTCGATATTTCCGTCATTTATACTGTATATCTTCTATGAACATTTTGAAACAGATGGAAATTACCATTTTCGTAACTGTTTTACATATTTTATAGCATTTGTTTATATGGTTTAAAGTTTCATTTCTGTGTCTAGTTCTGTTCCTCTGTTATTTAGAATTACCTGACTTCAAAGAGGAGATAGTTGCACAGACTGACTCGGGACTTCACCCCAGGGAGGGTATCTTCCCCGTGGGGTCGAGGATAACACTGCTGTGTAACATCAGTGTTGGGCGCCCTCCCCTTGAGCTACAATGGTGCGTTCGAAGAGAGGGTCAAGACGCGATGGTGTACGACGGAGTCACCAATCAGTCTAGTCCGATTCCATATGGGAATTGTGGGTACATGCGCACCAGTACATTGACGTATACTGTCATGTCCGATGACACCCGAACAGAGTTTATGTGTGACGTCGGCAACAACGTCACGTGTGGTGGTGGCTATATTAGCTCAGTATTTACATTATATTCAGGTGAGATGTTATTTATTCATTGAATGCTTAGTGACCTATGATATTCAAGTACCTGCTCTTTTTTACCACGCGCATTTACTTAATAAAAATGCGTTCATTAAATAATATAGTTCAAGACAAATACATAACACAGAGAATATAGTATCACAGAGCTTAACATCTTTGTCCCAGTGCGATCGGCAAAAACGCTAGAAAATGTCACTATTTTTTTAAGTGCAAGCAGTAATTTTCCTTCATTTCACATTGGGTATAAATAGAGTGTAATTCAGTGATGTATTACTGCCGTTACCAAACTGGCTTAATTAGTTAGAGCAGCACACGGCCTCTGATCATTTTACCCACAGAACAATGTTATATATATTCCTTATTGTTTTTCGTGAAAGTTCTACAAGTTATTATTTCTCTTTCAATGAATGATTTGTACATGATAAAGCCTGGACAAAGTTTCTGATGTAAAAATTTCTAATGTATAGATATATCTGTTTTGCAGTAACACAGGGATATACATATCTCATTAGAAAGTGTTCAATATAAAATTGTTGTTAAATGCAATACCGTGGGTTTTTTATCCTTTATTTTTAACGTTCCAGAAAAAGTATTAAATTATATTCTTTTTCTTTGTTTCTGCGCACTATTTTTTTTTTATTTTCACGTTTAAGCAAATGGCACACGTCATTGGAATTGTTTTATTAATTCATTCCTTAAAACTAAAAATGATCATCATAACAGCAAAATCTAGAATTTATCTTTATTTACATGCAATGAACAAAACCTCATTGATCATCCAATGTATTTGTCTCCACGTTTCTCGACATACACACTTAAAACAAAACAAGCCCCCTTTCTGCAACACCTTAACTTACCAGTAAACATGTATCTGTTACATAAAGAACACCATAGAGTTGAATATATATTTTATGTAGTTTCAAAAGCTGTTCGTTTTGGACACAAACAGGAATTGAACACTGACTTTGGGGGTTTCCAAAACGTCAGTTTCCTTTGTCAAGCAAAGAGTGTGCCGCATCAGTTAAGTCAGCTTTCAAAAAAATGGAGACATTTCGCCCAATTGCAATACCGGAGACAATAAGGGGGGACAGGTAACACGTTTAACCGTTCCTCTCATTAGTTTATTCCGACGTCTATCAAAGTTGACTAAGATAACATAACGTATGTCAGACCTATATTGTCTGTGTCATTTCATTATGAATCTTGCAATCCCTTTTAGCTCAAATCCTTCTTAACAAGAGGAGTTCAAGTAACCTATGGTATGCCTAAAAATGGCAGGATCGAATGTTATGTAGTGCAAGCATAATCTTTAAATGAACACTTTTATACAGATTATAAGATTTGGAGATTATTTTAATTTAATTTTGAATTCACAATTTTGTAAGCTAATGATGTTTTGGATGAGGTCGGTATTCAAAACAAATAAATGTTTAAAATACTGTAAATTACTTGTGTTATTTGTCCATATCAATTATGAGGCTGATTTTGGTAGCTTATCTACGTGGATCATGTTCCTTATATCGTATTAGGTTAGCTATATGTTTAAGATATATATATGTATTAGTATTAATATTGATATTCGAATACTATAAAGTATTTAAACCATTTACTGTGCTTGATTATATTCACTATATATTTAACTATAAGTTACCAAAATATCGCAAATGTGATATTGAATTGCTTTTAATAACTTGTCAGAGTTATCGGATAAATTGTAAAGCTACGTCCAATAAATAAATGAATAATGTTTTTTTTCTTATTTTTTTCAATCACAAAAAAACTGACTGGAGTTGAACAAGGAAAACGTGTACTTGAACTCCAAGCAAGTCTTTTTTAAATTTGTGTCTAAATAACTGTGGTTTTTGTTGGTGCGCACACGTCGAAATATTGACCTGGGAAAAGGATTAGCCGAGACAAAACCAAGGTCAATATGATTTTCCCGTTCATATAACCGCACATTAATCGAAGCTACATGTAAGTGCTTCAGTGTCATATTTGACGTAAATTTATGATGCATTCTTAATATTGAGATAAAAAAGCACCCAGCATCCGGCAGAGAGCATTGTGACGTTAATTTCGAAGTGACGTTTTAACTGGTACATTATCTTGTTTTCTGAAAGTTGTACCATTTAGTCAGTATCGCACATCCCTGTCCTCCTCTTGATAATGCAAAATAAGGAGTTCTAAGAACAATGGTACCACAAAATAAGATACCCTTATATAACGTGTGTGGTTTGTCATTCCTGCTCATATCTGTATTTCAGTGATAGTAAGTGTCGTGGCTAACTCCACGCCGGAAGTGGCCAGTGGTGTGGACACAGTCAATGTCACTTGCTCGGTCACTGGACTTCGTCTGTTTTACGATTGGTCGCTCGACATCCGGCGAAACACGTCCAAAGACTCTACGGATGAAGAACTACTCATCTCTCTGGTGCATGATGGTATAACTAATATCACCTGGGTAGTCTGGTGGAAACCAGAACTGAAGACAAGGGCAAACTCCTCTACTGACCTAACTCAGACAGATACTGCGACTTTCGGAATACTTTTTGATAGTGATCATGTGACATGCCTGGATGGTGGATCATATAGATGTGAGCTGTCTGGAGATACACCATCAGGCGAGAACATAAAAACGAACGATACAGCATATGTACTGGTGATCGGTGAGGCATTTATTCAAATATATCTAAATTTCATAGAGTTTCCCTTAATTCAAACTTGAAATGGCTTGTTCAAAACACCGCTGTCATTATTGTATTACTTTGAAAATGAGCATTCGTGATATAAATATGCGGCCACATACGCTACATTCGTTGTCTGCAGTTGCTAAACAGAAGCAGATTCATAACCTTTACAAATCTTGAACACGCACTCTCAAACCAAAAGGTGTGTTTTTTACGTGCTATTCTGATTGATGGCCTGTAACAACCATGGTGACTGTTGGTTTTTCAGTTAATCCTGGCGACATAGACGAGGTGAGAGGTGAGGGTGATGATAGCGATGTCGTTAGAGGTGGTGTATTTCCTGTGGGGTCGGGCCTCGTTCTCACGTGTAACAGCTCGGTAGGGATTCCTCCACTCGACATCAATTGGTGTGTGATGACCAGTGCGGATAGCGAGTGGTCAGTCTACCCCAATACATCCCACATCACGCAGTCTGACCCTACGGCAGAGTCGTGCGACCAGAGGAGGATCAGCACACTGACCACGGTAGTGAAGGACATTGCTTTGTCGACTTTGTTCCTGTGCGAGGTCGGACAAAACCTGACCTGTGGACAGAGTCTCCTCAGTGCAACCTTCTCGCTATACGCTGGTAACTACACATATCATATATTCATGCTTTCAAATTCGTTCAAAACAAACCGAGCACAAACAAGAATAACCCAATCCGCTCTTTTTACTTCTATCATTATGATAATCACAATACAATACTGATTAATTTGTACCCAATTACAACTTCTCTTTAAATAATGTTTTGTTCGATTCCTTGGGCCGAACGCATAAACAATTACCGCTTAATATCGTTAAACTTTAAATTACTGCATCTTACCATTAAGCGTTTTATGTATGCACATGCTTATATTTTACGAATTTAGTGGATGTGGGTGTGGCTATCGAAGGATCGACTTCTGTGATTGGTGGGATAGACGAGCTGAATATCACGTGTTCTCAATACGCGTCCGGCATTGGTCTGCTAGAAAACGCTACAATAAGTATATATCACCAAGCAAAAGGCTCACAATTGCACCTTTTGGTGTCTTTGACATACAACAACAATGCCGGAAGTGACGTATATACATGGCACAACCCTGAAATGGCAAATGTTTGGGTAGCAACGGGAAGTTTAACACCGCTAAGCACAGGATACCTACAGCTGACACTACCTGGACCGGATGTGACTTGTCGGGAAGCCGGTATGTACGAATGTGCGCTACAAGGACAGGTTGGGCAATACACTTACGTCACCAGAATGGACCGGCTGGATGTTGACGTGCAAGGTAGGAGGTATAAACAAATCCTACTAACATGTGTCCTGTTATATTAATTGAACTTAATTAATCCATAGAAATATTCCTGTTATTCTGTTATCTTTGTTTGTATTGGTTCTAACTTCATAACAATAGTTAAGATCAATTGAAGACGGTATACTTGGGAGACACTGCCAAAAAAAGAATTAAAGAAAAGTATTTGAGTCCCCTCTCATTTCTTACGATAATATACATTGGGCTATAATAAGCCTATATTTTCCCTGAACTTGTTTGGGATTTTGTAGGGGACAAATAATTCAAATGAAAATCATAGAGGTAATCATTTGTAGATGTGATATATCATTGTGCGTTATATTTTAATTTAATGGAATAGGAAGGTAAGTAAACATACTCCTTTTTTTAGCGGCATACAAGACTTAGTTAAAATAATATTTAAAATATATCAAGACACCAAACAGCAACGTTTATGATTTCAATATTTTTTCAATCTTAATTTATTAAGGATATTTCACAGTTTCTGTCCAAAAAAATGCAACTCAATATATGCTAACGAACAATAAATGTAAAACGCTAATACCCGAGTTAAAAGAAAATGATAATACAAATAACATATGTGTAAGATAATACCATATACATATATTTTTTTACTTTTTTGTGTAGTGCTACCTGACAGAATTGAGCCCATCGAGGGAGAGTGGGGTACCACTGTGGTGACAGGGGAGGGACGATTCCCCGTGGGAGGGACAGTAACTCTTCTGTGTAACAGCACGGTCGGTGATCCACCTTCTAACCTGTACTGGATCGTCAAGCGTGCTAACGACACAGATTATATATTTCTCAATGACACTGACCAATCACAACCCTCCGTTTCGGAATCCTGTCAGCTCCGACGTACGAGTCGCATCGTGTGGACAGTCACATCGGCCTACGAGGAGACGCTGTTCGTGTGTGCGGTTGGCCCGACGAACATCTCCTCTCGACTAAACACAACATTTACACTTTTTGCAAGTATGAACAAAATTAAACTATTGATGTAATACGGTAAAGCATTGTTTTGTCGTCACATTTGCATGAGTGGGTGATACTTCGAGGGACGTATACTTACATTCGATGCAAGCTAGCTAAATGATTTGCAGTATTTTCTGATTAAAAGCCAACGCAAACTGTGTGCCTAGTTGTTATGGAAGACTTGAATTTCAATGCTCAATATTTCTCTTTTCTTTTGAATATTGTATAAACCATATACTCACGACAGAATCTAGAAAAAATAATTGCGTATGTGGAACCAAAAGGTTATAGTCAATCAATGAGGGTGCACAAGTAATCGAATATCTAATGGGTAAGTACCAAATTAAAATGGCGCAGATATATCCTTCGTTTTAACTTAATGCTTGAATCTGTACCAAGATATATGTATATAATTGATGAGTGAGAATATGATATTTAACGTTTTTCTTTCTATTTCTCTTTGATTTTTATAGTAAAAACATTTAATATCTGTAAAACTGTAAATTATTTAAGGTTGTTGTATGTTTTTAACTGCACCCGACAGATGTTTTTGGGGTTATTTAGTCAAAGCAATATTTAGAAAAACTTAACTATTTTGTCGTCAGCATATTAACATGGTTATAAATGTCCTAATTCAGAGCAAAAATACTTCATTATACAACCTGTTGAGTTTTTCTTTGTTTTGTATTCATCTCTTGCTTTTTTTTTAAGACCTTATCTTCATCGAAAATTTGAGGGAATAGTTTTGCATGCAGATCTAGTTGTTCTTTCACGTTTCTTTGATCTCTTTTTTAGGTCTTTAGCCTTTTAGTTGACATCAGTCATCCCCGGAGTCAAGTGAAATGTTCCCGTAAATTTTGACGGTCAAAAAACACATCGCGAAAGCAAATTTGTGGGAATCAAAAACATACTGTAGATGCTCTACTGATATTCTTTGTTTAAGGCTTATTTTTGCTGTTGATGAGCTTTATTGCAAGTTAATACTTTTAAGCTTGCCGATTTACACTCATATACATTACTTACGGGGAGGCTAGCAATGATACACATGTTAACGGATGAAATATATTGATGTCCCTGTATTTGATATACAACGATATTCATATTGGAAAAACCATGGTTTTCAAGAAACATTAAAAAATAAATATTCCGAATGCAACATCCGAAAATCCTTCGAGGGCCATTTCCACCGTGTCTGTGCTGTTGCTTTAGGTCAATCCAAGCTCCGCCAATCTATCACCTGATAGGTTTAGTAATTTATAAGATAAGAAAGCTACAGAAATTGCAAAGAAAGTTGATATGCTACACCGAAAACAGCAAAAAGAAGTCGTTCATTGTGTTTTAATATCAGGATTCGCATATGGCTAGTATGGAACTAGCTTCCTTGACAGCAACATCAGGGCGATGATGGAGATATAACAGTGTTAGCTTATTATGTTTATGTCAAGTGAATATAGTAGAGGTATATTATTACTTATATATATATACGTATTTACTATTTACGCTGACATTCACTCAGCAACCGTTTTCTGGAAACATAGGTTATCATATCATAACCTGACTATTGCACATGACATGTTTTCATCACGTTGACAACAATACAATTGAGCAGAGCTATGCATTTTGTTTCTGCGAATAGGACCCAATTATGTGAAGTCGTTGAGAGTATATATGGCCGGAGTTAACCGTAGGTATTTTAGCCTGTTAATTTTATTAAACCGATCACACGTTACTAAGTTTTGAAAATGAGTATGTTTTGCTTTCTGATCTGACTCATTAAAGGGAAAGTTAAGAAACATTCTCAAACATGTACTGTTAATATAATGTTGGGACTACCTTTTGATAACCTGGCAAAAATTGGAGCTATTTTTTAAATAGTGTTGGTCATATACATAATTGTTAATGGTTAGGGGATATTACGAACAAAACAATTTTAAACCACCGAAGTTTAAATGAAGTCATGATTCGAACTCAAAATCGGTTGAATGTTTTGTTAGGATTAAATATAAGCAAATACATGCAAGCCATTGAATATTCTGACTTGATGATGGGTTAAGCGGTTTACTGACGAGTGCATTAATGAGGCCCAATCATGGACACCCAGGTGAAAAGGAATATTGGATTATTATGCTACCGGAAAGACAGTGATGTCTTAAATAAATTGACCATTGAGTAAGGATAGTCAGATCTTGGTTTTTGTAATAATAGTGTATTTTGTAAACGAGATGTATGGATAGACAGGCTGGAGTTCTTCCGGGGGTGACAGTTCCCTTATTACGTATTTGTACTGATATTTGTCACTGTATTCCTTGTGTTTCTCTGAAATATACAGCTTTTTACTGCTGTATTGCCGTCAGTTGCTTTTGTGCACTGCAATGGTAATTACCATTTTGGTGACGTAGCGAAAGAACCTTTTCACTGTTTGTTTGTAAAAAAATATATAATTATTTATTTATGCATTTAGTGTTTTTTTTATATTCATGTTTTAAATGCTATTTCTACGTCAAATTTACATAAATTGTTAATAAAAGGAATGAAGCATAACATAACATTACATAAAATAACAAAGAAATGATTTAATCATAAGTTTTGATGTTCTACTATTTTATATTGCACATATAACAATATTTTGTCCCGTATGATATTCTAAACAGGCTAGCGGTAAAAATGCTAGATCAGTTATTGTCAGCTTGATTGGTTGCTTCGAATAACAGGGAAGCTTTTTGTTGAAAAAAAAATATAAAAAAATCGTGCAATGTGTTCAGTAACAACAAATGTATCCCATTCGTGTGGCTTACATTTTGATATGTTCGTTACGTGCTACTCACTCGTGAAAGATATCAAAATATTAGCAACACACTTCTATTTATTCCTTTTTTTGTTATGAAACACGTTATTTCAACTTATATTCATCTCATTTGTTGTGTGTGTTTTTTGTGTAACTGTGTCTGACTTTGCATTTTGTTTAGTATCCTGCGAGGGAGATTGCACAGTGGTGACAACAGCAGTGCCCAATCCGTCGACCGGTATAACGTCAGGAGTGATTGCGGCGGCCGTCGTCACACCTTTGATTTTCCTGGCCATGCTTATCACTCTTGTCGTTATGTTGAAGTTTCCAGGTAATTAAATATATACGTACGAAGATAAAACTATAAATTATGGACAGGTAGTGTCGTATTTGTAAATAGTGCTATTCCAGACAGTTTTATTTTCGATATAATGGCACATTATATGAAGCACTACATTCTATTTCTGAATTTAAATCAAAATTCGGCTAATAACGTTTTGAAGACACAATATTAATTATTTCAACGTGTAACATCGTAATACAAGTGTTAATACCCTGAATTTACAAACGTCTTGTTGGGTTACTGTTCCAGTTTTTATATATTTTTGATATTTTTATTAATAATTAGGTAGTATTTTTAAATTATAATTCCTTATTATCACTATGTTTTTAAAGATTTTATATTTAATGAAAAAATAATGTTTATGTATATATTCGAATTTCTTATCTAATAATCAAGGTGCCCGGGCTGTACTTTGCAAACGGAAATCCATTGAAACCAAGGTGAAGCCATATGCTTCTAGGTAAGAGCAACTATGGCAGATTCTTTATGCAAGCTGGATTTGGTATCATGGTGATACGTAATATTGATTGGATATAAATGTTTTCGATACAAGTTTTAGGCTGTACATTACAGCAGTAAACTTCTAGTAATTATCCCCTTTCAAGTATGTCACACTCATTTGTGTCAGTTATTTCCATCGGTTGAGTCTACAGGCATTATTATATGATTAGTTACGTTGAGTTATTTCTACTGGGGAGCTTTGGCTTTAATGCATAACTACTGTTTACAGGATCAAAGTATTTGTATATGGCCCTGGTCATTGGTTAATTAGAAGTCCCGTCTAAACATTTAACACTTTAAAAGCAACGGGATTTGGTTTTAGGAGTATAAGGTTTTATACATTTCGACTACATATCACCTGCCAGTAACGATAAGTTATTCATGTTAATGTATCACCGTATCTGTAGTTCCATTACATAATAAGTTACATGCCATTGAGTGTTATCAATACCCTCTGCTGCGGATCAAAGTGAAAATGTTCGTAAACTAGTCTGAAGCTCTACAGGATAAGTTAAATAGGATTTTTTTCCTATGTGAGCCTTTATTGTAGGTAATATTTATTAAGTTTTATGATGGTCAATGTTATCAGACCGTATATACATAAGTAGCTAATCATGAATATTGTATTACGGGGTATTCTTCTTATTTCATTTTCCTATGTGAGCCTTTATTGTAGGTGATATTTATTAAGTTTCATGATGGTCAATGTTATCAGACCGTATATACATAGGTAGCTAATCATGAATATTGTATTACGGGGTACTCTTCTTTTTTTAGAATTACTTTAATTTCGGGATTTGAAGCACCCTTCCTCAAGTTTCAACAGTCGTTTTGACCAATTTGAACGTACGCCTAGATTGTGTTAATAATTAATCTTAAAAGAACGAACACGCTTTTATGTTTTGTGAATTTAAGTTTTGGGCATACCGTACCAATTATCAAATAGTATAGGTACAATCGCTTGTATGTGTCGTACGTTCATTGTTCAGGATACAAGTTGGTAGACGCAGCTGGTGGACTTCTTAGTCTCCAAAGTGTGCTGCTGCAACCTTGGTCATCTCTTTTGAGTATTTCAGACAAATTTGAATTGCCACAATTTTACCCCCTTAGACTGATAGAGTGAAGTAGAAAAAATAAGAAAATACTAAATTAGTCTTTTTGCAGTTAAATGTAAAGTTGCGAAATAACTGCTATGGTAGGAATAGCTTAAATGATATAACACCAACATGTAAATGTGCCCCGCTTGTGAATTATAAGTTATTAAGTTTTTATTTTAAGTTTCAATATATGAAACCAAATTACAAATTCAAATTCGTTATGAACTCTGTCTAACAAGTATATCCTTGAACTTGTAGATTGGATATTCCCCAAGACCTGAATGGCACGGGTACGTCAGCGCCCCCTACTGGTACTTCTCTGACAAATGGACATGGATCATCCATATAAAGGCTGTAATCATTACAGCGTCTAATCAACACACATGTACTACACGTGACATAAATTTTAAAATCAGAAGAAAATAACGACGGAATGTTACCCAACCACCTGCTTGGACTGAAATGTCATGAAATGCAAAAACGTTTAACGTGATTATATAGAGGAACAAATGGTTAAAGATGACATTTCATGACTTTTTTAGCGGAATACAAGACCTAGTTAAAATGATATTTAAAATGTATCAAGACACCAAACAGCAACGTTTATGATTTCAATAATTTTTCAATGTTAATTTATTAAGGATATTTCACAGTTTCTGTCCAAAAGTTTCCAGCTCAATATATGCTAATGAACAATAAACGTAAAACGCTGAAACCGGAGTCATTGTAGAATGCTAGCTGTGAGCGCCAAAATGACAGCATCGGCTGTATGCTCCCCAGGGAGTCGAGAAAGATATTGGCTGGTTTCAAAGGCCCTATAACCGCGGATAATAATTTGTGAACCGCTTTGAGACGACCTACGAACTAGGTTGTGATAAAGCGGCATATAAGAACTTCGAACTATTATTATTATCATTAAAAACTGTTTTCATAGCTGGTATTGCTTGGCATGATTTTATATTCTAAACATAATGAAACTAACACGATTATTGATTAACACACATTACAGTCAAAACTTAGTCGATACCGATAGTCCGCGGACAAAGTTGCCATGTATACATAGCGACATTGTACATTTTGTATGAATATGCTTATGATCAAATGATCAAGCAGATGAGGGACGCTGAAGTATAATTAAGCAATGAATGAGTAATTATGCTGTATTTAGTTATTTCCAACAGTTTTTGAACAGTAAATTAAATGTTAACAACCATGAAAATGATGATGTCACAAAAGAGATTGATGACGTCACAATAGCAAATGTTATTATAGTCTCATAACAACATGTGCCTTCTCAGTGCATTGCAATGGAAGGATGTATAGGAAATGTAAATATACTTAATTACAGCATAACCTCGATCTATCGCCACCCGTTTTATCGCCAAACTCGCATACCGCCATCAATTTGGTCAGAACCGATTTCCTCACACTTAAATGCACCCGTTGTACCGCCAAACTCGGGTACCGCCATATGCCACAATGTTTTGAGAACAGTCGTTCAAATACCCATTTGTTGGCCCCCGTAAACACCGCCACGCTCCATCAAAGAAATTGACCTATATCGTTGATTTCACAGTTGACTCAGCCCTTGGGGTCAGTTTTAGATGGTGTAACTATGTATAGTATGTGTGTCTAATCAATGTATTAATTTACATCTGAATACAATTTACCATTTGACCTCTGTTGGTTATTTATTTCATTCATTCACATCATATGGCTTCTCACATGGCTTCTTTAAAGAAGGAAACAGGTAGTGAAGATATTCAATTCATTTTACAATTAAACGTCGGATTGTGGAGGATAATTGGACCAACAAATCGAAATTGATTTGATGATACCGACGGTACACCGTCGTACTGCTCATCATGCGAATACTGTATTGTTTTGCCGCGAGACTGTGACGTACCGCATCTGGCTATCACAGATAAAGGTGCGGGTGCGGATTTCAGCGATCGCCGTGTTACAACAAGTCCAAACAGACTTGATATCGATCCCGATTTACGTTTGACTATGATACCGCTTCTTGCAATGCTCAGATGCTTGCAACCCACTTAGGTATTATTGGCCGATGACATTCTTCATGTGCAAAAATCCCGACAAGACAGACCCTTGACGACATTCGCGTAGGTTTAGTGGCAGAGAAACAGGATATTGGGACGGTTCTTTACTTAGTCGAACACTTACACTTGACTACAGAGTCTGACGTACAGAAATGATGGCATTTGCAGTTTGAGAAATGCGAAAATTAGCACCGCAATACAAACATTACTTGACGATTGTAAGTATGTCTGCAAATACTGGCACGTAAAACTGACCCTTTCGCCGCGGTACTCGTTAAGTGTATATCACCAAATCTAAATCAATATTTCCGAACTAATTATTCTTTCAAAAACGGTGTGTATATTAAAAACTGCATGTATACATGTATATTTGATTTTTCATTGGTAAGTGTTGGGTATGTGCGCCGAAACAAACAAGCGTTCATTCACCTGTCATTTAACAGGGACAACTCGTTGTACCGCCAAACTCGTTGTACCGTCAATATGTCTTTGGACGGAAGGTGGCAGTATATCGGGGTTATATTGTATAATGCTTGTTAAACGCACTATGCCGCGTTGCATCGTTCATGCATACTGTATCGATCTACACATATGAGAAGTGATTTATTAGTTTGCTTTTGGCTCAGAGAATCAACGGGAATTGTGTGATTGTCTAGTTACTGGGCTTGTAAAATGCAATTGGGGTTGGCTAAAAGGTTTGGTTTAGTCAACTTTTTATTTTACCTCTGCGTGTACTTGTTCCATGTGGTACACATATGCTATATTTCAATCATTCAATTATTATATAATAATCTCTTAAATCGTTCAGTACATTTTATATAGTATAGTTATGTATATACGACATTTTATATAGTATAGTAATGTATAGAGGACATTTTATATAGTATAGTAATGTATATAGGACATTTTATATAGTATGGTAATGTATATAGGACATTTTATATAGTATAGTTATGTATATAGGACATTTTATATAGTATAGTAATGTATATAGGACATAAGTTAAAATAAGTTCATTAATATCTTCTGACAGGGTAGTATAATCTAAAGTTAACAGAGTTGAACTAGAATAATCAATACGGTCATGAAATTAATGGACTAAATACCTAAAATTAGAGTAAATAGGACAAGTAAACAAAAAATATCAGTATTTTCACAAGGTGAACCATAGGCACAAATTGGATCTGGGATAAGATGATCTATTAATTTATATAAATGTCCTTGGCATCGTTTATTAATTGGCACAAAATAATATTTAATTTTCGTGGGCTACAATTTTCAAAAGTATTAGAAATAGCTTTAAGATTTCTTTTGAAGGAACTTAGGCTAACTGATCTGGTCAGCGAAGGATCAAGACTATTCCCTGCCTGCAAGGCACTAGGAAAGACGCTTGTGTTATAAATAGTAGTTCCTAACCTTGAGATATTGAAAAATCTGTGGTGACGCAGGTAATGAATGTTTTGCTGATGATTAATAAATGGTTCAATTATATTAAACAAATAATCAGGGGTTAAATGATTTATAATTTTATACATTAAAATTAATTTGTGCTTATGACGCCTAGATTCTAATTTCCCATGTCAGTTTCTTGATATAGTTCACAATGTGAAGTACCTCTTCTAACAAGCAGTAATAATTTGCATTGCATCAATCTGTACAGATTCTAATAAATTTTATTCACCAAATGGAATCAGAATATTCCAAAATTGGTCTCACAAACGAATAATATAATGTGTCACGAGTTTCCTATCCACTTTATGTTTCAACGTACGTAACACATTTAGTCGTTTACATGCTTTATCGTATATATCATTAATATGATCCCCCATGTGCTTTTTGAATTAAATACAAGTCCTAAGTGTTTATGGAATACATTTGCCTGAATAACTTGATTATCACAAATCAACGGAGGGTGAACCCTATTTTTCTAACTTACAGTTAGTGCAACTGTTTTATTAGGATTACGATTAATTTTCCATTTTTTAGCCCAAGAATTAATAGATTCAAGGTCGTCATTTAACTCAGCAGTTGGAGTTACAATATCATCATCAACAATAACATAGAGAGAGGTGTCATCAGCAACTACTTTTATAATGGTGTTAATTTCATGAGTTATATTATTAATAAAAAGTAAGAATAAAAAGGTCCAAGTACAGAGCCTTGTGGAACACCAGCAGTTATATGTTTAAATGTAGAATTATAACCATCAAAGATAACTCTTCTATTTTCTATTAGTAAGTTAACTTTCAGACCATTTATACAAATTACCAGATATGCCATATTTTTTCAAAACCCCAAGCGGCGCGCAAATACTTTGTCCACTTCCGGTTCTTCCCTGTGCACGAAAGCCTTCTGGGAAATTGAGACCGCATACTGTCTGCAAAAATATGATGGTTAACCCTACAGTATCCGTATTGTTTTACATTTTACTAGTGAAATATCATCAATATATACGAAATATCATATCTTCACATGTAAAGATGTCATTCTTAGAATTGTCAAATCTGAAAGGTACATTTTATTCTCTGCGTAGATTTTCAGTTTTAAGTTTAGATGAAATGACGTCAGACAAAATTTGGTTGTGTTGTATACCTTTGCAGCATCCAGTATTGTTACCTGATAATAGCAGCAAACGGCAAAATTGCAGTAAAAACCCGTTCAAAATGGCGCTCTGCTTTGTTGTCAAGCGTGACGTTATTAGAAATTAGCGTAAAAAAAACGCAACACATTCCCGCGCTTTTCTGATGTAGCAATATTTGCGTCGCGTGAAGTGAAAAAAAATATGTCAGAAATAGAAAATGTAATTGTTTACACGTTTGGTTTGGTTTAATTTTGTTTAACGTCCTATCAACAGCTAATGTCATTAAAGGACGTGCCTCCATGTGTGTAGTGTGTGCCTGCTTGCTCGTGTATATGCAGGAGACAGAGCATGTTGGTGCTTGCCTCCTTGTGAAAGCGCGGATCTGATGCCGACTTTATAGTGCTATCTCACTGAAATGCCATGCAGAAGGCACCAAGCGCATCATTGTTAAGCAGGGAATAACAACTACCATTTTTAAGGACTTTGGTATGTCCCGACCTGGGAACAGAACCCATTGCCTTCCTCACCTGGGCGAACGCTCAACACTTTAGACCAAAGTGAGGTGTTGCCAAGCAAGGCGATAGGAAATAAAAGGTAGAAAGGAGTAAATAAGAAAGATAAAGATCTCAAATATTGCAATGGGTGCAGCATATTTATTATGGTCGCTTTTGTGTCCCCAATTAGAGGACACCAAATAAAATCCCCTATTCTGCAGTGGTTTCCCCATTAGTCGCCTCCTACAATAGGTGGGTAACAGCAAGTATATTCTTTTCCCCATCCCCCATCTGCAGGGGTGTTGTTTTCCCGTTCAATACGATATATTTATTTCAATTGTATAAAACGAATATTTGATAATAAAAAACAGTGTTGTGACAAAATGTGTCTTCGTAGCAGTCTCGAGAAGTAATACTATTATTCAAAGAGGGGCTACCATTGACGTATTAAAAAAGAATACGGTTGATATTTTATCCAAAGATTGCATTGTGAAAAGAAATATGTGTAAAAATCACTGCAATTTTGACAAAAGTTATAAATAACAGTTTATGCAAATCATGTTATGTCTTTTCTCTCTCTCAGGAGATGACGTTATTACCAAACCGTTAACATTTAAACGTGCAGTTAAAAATGTACATTTGCTAGCTGTGGGACAATTATTG